TTATTATGTTGTAGCAACATTATTAGTGAAAAATAAAAGTACTATTATCACTAACTATTTCTAAACTAAAATTTTTTATTAATCAAGTTTTTACTAGGTGCATACTCATAAAACAAAATTTTGATACTAATCTATTTTTATTTAAAATAATTCTCATAGGAAAGGATCAAATATGTTTATAATTAATCCTTTATATATAAAATTGAGATTTTAATCTCTAAGAAGCTGACATGTGGTGTTGCTTGAGAAACATTTTTTACATGCAATTTATTATATGGAAAGTAAGAAAATAATAGTGTGGTATGAAGTCATTAAATACAATTAATTATGGAAGAGATTATAGATCTTAGATTCTATGATATATTATGCCGTAATTATGATATATTTAAATTTAAGTAGTTTTTTCTTCAGTTATAACAAAACTTTTAAATAAATAATAAGATATTCTCTTCACTTCTTAATAAATTCCACACTTTTTATGATATATTTAATTTAAAGTAGTTAGTTTTGATTTTTTATTTAAATATTGATAAAAGTTAATAAAAAATTGTTTTAAAACTGCAATAATACTTCATAAAACATGCCATGATTCAACAATAAATTGTTAAAACAGGTAAAAAATACTAGATATTATTTTATGGTTTGATATAACTACTGGATAGTTTAGTTTACGAATATATTATTATTTTTATTTATTATGAAATTTTTAATTATATTATAAAACACAAAAGATTGAAATAAAATGACATCGTTGTGACTTATTATATTACTCTAACATTATTTCTGATTTTACTATCATTGAGTAAATTTAATTAAGGAATAGAGATATTTGTTTTTGTCAGAATATTCTTTTTTTGTTTTTATTTTTTTGTTTCATTTATAATACTCCGTAATACTTTCAATGAATATATATACTACTCTATTCACTGCCAAACAAATTTCATATTTGTTTATGATATGACTAAGTGATTTTAGATTTTATTCTATTTAGGTTTTAATATGTTTTTAGTTCATGTAAAATAGGCAAATTTTGTTTTTGGTCCATGTAATGTTTTTTGTTAAGCCATCCTTGCAAAAATAAATATTTTAATAATAGTCCCTAAATATAATTTACACTTTTAATTTGTTGAGATTGCACATTTATTTTGTACTCAAATCTTAATCTTGCATTTCTAATTTCTTCAGACTAATGTCATGCAGAGATCATCTTCCATTCTTCGTCGAACTTCATCCCCAATTTCCAAGTTTTATTATACATTTAGGGCATGAGATTTGTATTGGTGATAGTAGACATGAAAGACTAGAATGTTTAGTACTCCATATGAAATAAATATGTTATCTCAACAAATTTGAAGTACAAAATTTATTTAAGTACCATTTTAAAAATAAAAATGTTTGTAAGGATGCCTAAACAAAAAATATTTTACAAGGACAGTGAATCACCTATTTTACAAGGACCACAAACCTATTTAACCTTTTCATTTTTAAAAAAATTGATGTAAAATAAAAAAAAATTGTCCATATTTAAAATTCTATATATAAAGTAATAAGTATTTTTTAAATTATCAAGTATTTAAATCAAATTGATTAGAAATAATATTTAATTTGACTTTTGCACTTTATCTTGCTAATTTGACTTATTATTTTAATCAAGTATTTAAATTATAAATGAATTGATTTTTAAATGATCAAGTAATTAAATCAAATTAATTAGAAATAATATTTAATTTGACTTTTATCTTGCTAATTTGGCTTATTATTTTAATCAAAGTAAGTTTGTACTGTAACTAACCATTTTTTAAAGATGTAACTTAGTAGTTATAAATTTATATTGCATGATAGTTCATTAATTATATTTATGCATGAAAATAAAAAAATGAATTAAATATGACTCAATTTCTTTTTCTTTTCATTTTCGTAATCTTACAAAGAAATTCAACAGAATGGTATTCTTAGAGACGAAGTGATATAACATGAACTTTCAAAGAAGATTGTTATAAGGAAAGTTAAGGTGTAGAGGTCAAGAAGAGCGCGAAGATCTATGACAATTAAAATCTAGATGCAAGGATAATCAATAAATTAAAGAGAAGTACCAAGAAGATGGTGGAGAAGTGAATAAGGTATAGACTCAACTACAACATCAAAGAGAAATGTAATTTTCAATTTCTAACTCTTTGTGTTTTTTTATAAAATATTATGTATGTGTCGTGTCTCTGTACTTATAAGCAAGTCAAAACTGCTTATAAACAATTTCTAACTTATGAGTGAGCTTATGACATGTTTCTGTGTGCTTATAAGCTGACTTATAAACTGCTTATAAGCTACAAAAAATAAGTAGGTCTTTGCTACTCATTTTTAAGCCGGTTTTTTTTTCTCCTTTTTACCAGATTATTTACAAAATTGTTTCTCACCATTCATGAATATTTATAAATAATTTCTCTATCATTTAAGTCATTATACTTCTACGAAAGAACATTTGACTTATAAAGAGCTTATAAGTTAAACATTGCTTATTAGCAATAAGCCAATAAGCACCATTACAGAGAAACACCCCATATGTATTGACAAGAATGCTTTCATGAACTTAAATGATTTTGTATTTAAAACGAAAGCAAAAAATTGAATAAAAATTGTGAAATATTTTTTGTAATTTTTTTCCTAAAATCATAGGACCGCTAATGTTTTTTGCATTGAAACCTTTTTTGAAATAATACGGAGGAGAATAATCACTGTATTTTTAATATATTGTAAAATTTATATTTCCTATCATAGGATTGCTAATTTATGTTTTTATATTTTTAATAATGCGGGAGAAACGAGTCATTTTTTAATCAATGCAAGGGGCCAGGGAGATGAAGAATCATATTAACGCATGAGAGAAGAATCATATTTTTGTTAATGTGAATTCATGTGGCGAAGAAAAATCTAAGAAGAATCATGATTTCTTAAATCGTAAAATTATAAGATCCGAAATCTAAGTTTTTAACATAAGTGTGGGGAAGAAGAATAATAGAATCACTAATGTTTTTGTAGTATATTTTTTTGAATTAATGAGTGAGAAGAATTATATGTTTATAGAAATTTAGCAAACCTAAATATTTTATATATAAAATTTAAATGGTTTTTACCATAAAAAATCAAGATTTTTTAATATTCCATATTGTAGAATCAAAAATAATTTCGTTCAACCCGTGCATAGTACGGGTTAAAATACTAATTAGTATATTATAATGGAGAAAAGTTATATACTCCGTATCATGCATTCCACGAGTTAAAATGCTACTCCCTCTGTCCCATTTTAAATTGCCTGTTTGCCTTTTTTCTCTGTCCCAAAATAAGTTGCCTGTTAGTTGTTTTCGTAAACTTTTAAAAATAAAATACCTAAACTACCCCTAAAATAAGTCACTCTTCTTCACCTTATCTTCTCATTCATCGTCACCCCTCCTAAAAAGTAATGACAATTTTGGAAAATCAACTCTATTTTTTCTTTTCCTTAAATATGTCCAAGAGTCAAAACAGGCGATTTAAAACGGGACGGAGGGAGTAGTAAACACATTCTTAGTGAGTTGAAAGAATTGAAAAAAGAATAAATTTGTTGAAAAAGGGTGAAGAAAACTCTTATAGAAAAAAGAAAAAACTCGATACAAAATAAGATTTAAAAAGAAATTTTTTAAGTAATTGCTTTAAGACATAAGAGTAATAATTTTATACCCTCTCCGTCTCAGTCGTCCTATTTGACCTTTCAAATCAAAGTGGACAATTTTAATAATCAATTACTATTCATTTGTATCCCATATTAATGCAAATAAATAAAATTATGAAAGTTTCAAACAAGATAAATCTAATTAAATAATTTTTGTACTAATATATATTATAGTTTTTATTTAATTGAGACCTAAAATTCATTCAGTTTTACTCAAAAAGTCAAAGTAGACGGATATACTAGAACAGAGGTAGTATATTAATAAAATTTTCTCTCATATACGAAAATTAAAAAAAGTACGAAGTAATACTTTTGAAAAAAATTGTTTAGTGCCATTTTTTTAACCTGCACTTGCAGGTTAAAAGGAAAGATAGTGGCATTTTTGACAAGTAATAAAAAGTTTACTGGCAGTATAGTAACAAAATAAAACATATTGGTATTTTTGACAAAATATAATAGTTCGGTGGCATTTTTTTTAACTACACTAAAGGTATCCATCCCCCTTCGGCGCTTATAAGTTTAGGGAGATACTGTTAGTACCGAAAATGGTTTCATTGTTGATATTTTGCCTCATAAGTCACTTACTCATAACCAACTCCAATGTGCAAACAAGGATTCTTGTCACGTTGAAGTAGTTATTTTAGTAAACAAAAAACCTTTCTTAAAGAAAATATGTGCTTTAGCTATTATCTAAAACAGGAAAATTAGGAGTGAAAAACCTGCAATACTCCACCTATACTTAATTTTTCCTTAACAAGTGAAGGGGAGCCCTTTGAAGATCCCTGAAGATATAAAAGGGTAGTTGGCAAGTTGAGTTATCTGATAGTCATTCGTCTAGAGACAATCTCATATGCAGTGTGTTGCAAGTCAATATATGTCTTCAATTGTTGTCATTGGTATGTATAGAACATATACTTTGTGTTATTTAAAAGGAACTCCTGGACATGGTATTGTATATCAAAGGTATTGTATATCAAAACCATGGCCATACTAAAATTGAGTGTTTTACAAATGCTGATTGGGCAAGTGAAAGGAAGATCAAAGGTACAAAGTGTCTTTGTTGTTGGTCCAAAGTGTCTTTGTTGGTCAATTGCAGAATCAAAATGCAGAAGTGCAGCACAATCTCTGTGTATATTACGGAGTATATGGTTATGAAACTTATTGAATGAGACTGGCTACAAGGCATCAATTCTAGCACACAAAAGACTGATTTGTAAATGAAGACACTACTATATAATGCATCTAATCTAGTTTCTCATTACACAAAGCACATTGAAGTTCATTGTCATTTTGTCTTAGAAAAACATAGAAAGCCGTACTACACTAAGTGAAACATTGATAACACCCTGTGCATGAATTTCTGTTTAAAACTTTTGGATTCTGTTTCACCAATCTCTTGAGTTGACAATGGCAACTCTTCGGAATCTACATTTACACATTCCTCAACAGCAAGCACGACGTTTTTGGCTTGTGGTGACGGAGGGTTAAATCTACAACGTCTATTTACAAACCATTTGCTAACCTGTAGTGTAATAGATGTCATTATAGAAGTGGAAACATAATAAGTCGCCAGTTACTCAACATTTTAAGGCGATTTCCTATATTCCACAAAATTTTTACAAAATAATACTCCGTAACTTAATTCACTACCCTATGTATATCTGCAATAACAATGAATCATTATCTATTACAGATTACTCAAAAGAATATCTGCACTTCCGTAACTTAATTCACTACCCTTTTCATCGCCAGTTACTCAAAAGAATAGTACTCAAACCTGCCGAACTGTCAGTCAATTACAAATGCTAGAGTGGGAATACACAAACCTGCCGAACTGTCAGTCCCAATTCTTTAGCCAAGCTTTCCTTGACTTCTCGTTTTGGATAGTGATTTTCCTTGAAGGATTCAGAGAGCCTCTGCAGCAGAGAGAATTAGTAAGTCTTGTTTGCAAACAGTTGGGGAAAAAGAGCAGCTCTATTAAACATAAACAAATCATTATCACCTTAATTACATCATCCCCATGTTTTAATCTTTTGTTTCTTTTACTACTTGAAGCACATTCAGATTCCACCAAGCTTTCAGCCTTCCGCTTCTTGCTAGATGTTCTAGAAGCATTCTTGACAGTAGTATCCACTAGACTTTGATTAGATGACTTAAGAGCAGATTTGTCACTTCTTTTCCTTTTGTTTTTGGAAGCTGAATTATCCTCACAATCTTTGTCACTAGAGTCAGATGATGCAATTCCAAACGTTTCCTACAGGTGTAAACAGATTAAGATGGAAACTATGCAGTCAGATTACCGATTACCGTTTAAGATGGAAAATTGGCATTGCATGAATAAGAACCAAGCCTGAGGGTAATCCCACCATATCATCCAACTGCTTCCCAGATGCTGCTGCTGCAGCCTCCTCCTGAAACACCTTCTGCATAGCACATAAGCCCTTGATTAGATTTTATGATTGAAGGATAAGAAAATCCAATTTGAGCAAATGCCAGACCTCCCAACTGTCAGTTATAGAAAGATCAGTTCCCAATAAATTGTTAAGCAAATCAACACAATAAACTTTGCAGTCACACCCAGGACACAGCCAGCCTTCATCATCTGGTGGAACTGTAATCACATGGCCAAATGAAAAGGTATACATACATTAGGAAGAAAAAAACTGCTTAAGAGTTTTCAACTTTACAGTCTTCTTTCAACAAAGGTGGTTCCAAACACTTCTGGTGAAAACCACGCTCACAAGCACCATCACAGAGGAGAATATCATTATAAGCTGACACATCCTTAGAGCTACACTTCCCACAGAATATCTGCAATAACAATGAATCATTATCTATTACATCAATATTTCTTTTACTGTGCAGCTGATGAAAAGATTACTCAAATTTAAACCAAATAATGTAAATAAAACATATATACTATTCTATGAAGCACAAGTGCGGATGCGTCGACCGGTGAGGGTGCGCGACTGGTGCGCGGGTGCGGAAATTTTCAAAAAAACAGAGTGCGGGTGCGGTAATGGGTGCGACACATTTCTTTATATATATTTTTATTTATATTACTATTTCTTTGAAAATACATGTATTTCTATTCAAAACATACTAAAAAGATAACAATTATCTTAATTTTAAAATAATAAAGCACATGACATCCTACAAAATAGATAGGAAACATAATATAAGTTCACAATAATTAATAAAACATACAGAAACACCCAATAATTGAGCAATTTATATGTAGGGACAAATTTAGGAAATTTCAACCTAATTAAAAGGACAGAAGAATTGAGCAAGTTCCAAAAGCAAACCCAAATTAGATAAGGATACAAAGTAAATAAAAAATGACAAAAGGATAAAAAAAGGAAAAAAAGAAAAAAACAAAAGCAAACCCTAAAGACGGAGTATGACCTAATACGCTAAAAAAGACAAAATCAAACAATTTTGAGGAGCGGGTCGAAGTGCAGATCCAACCCGGCACGGCCCTTCTTCTTCTTTTTGTTTCCGTGCCGCGACTCTGCAATAGGCCATTGCCAAATACTTCCTATCCATGGCGGTTCCGATTCGTCTCCAGTGCAATCTGTGAAAAAGAAAAAACTACAAAACCACCCCACCGCACCCATCGCGCACCGCCGCACCCGAACCGGAACGGTGCTTTGTGCGCCTGTATTTTGCCGCATCTGTGCTTCCTGGATACTATCACCTACATCTTCACTATAAATCCGCCCCTCTGAGTCAAACAATGATTCTGGGAACTGCCCCTGAGAAAGTGATGTGTCTATGCGTGAAAATAACTCTCTAACTTTCAGCTTGTATTGAAAAATCCCAGATTTTGCACGTTGAAGCTCCTTCTCAGGTTTTATTTTTTTTAAGCTGAAAAGGAAAGAGATTAAACTTAAATGGCTGATCTATAAATAGATGGAAATACTTGAAATGAAAAACAATTAATCTTTTGCCTAGTCATTAGATGGATTGGGGAGAACACAAACCTTTGACCTTTCCAGCCTTCACCAGAGTAAGCATCAATTATGCTCTGTTTATATTGTATTCGCCTCAGTAAATACTTAGTCGGGATTTCATCCCCAATGATTCATTTGCAGTGATCTGTTTCCTCCGCTTTCTTTTTCTCGTTTTTCTGTTCTTTTCTTTGTTGGAATTATCAGCTGCTGAAGCATTTGTTGTTTCTGGAGATTTAGGCTTTTCTTGTGTTTTTGAGCACAATACTCTATTGCTGGTTATTGGTGATCTCAAAGCAGATACCCTTTTCCTTGATCTCCCAGAATGCCTTTCATCTCCACATTCTAACTGACTAGGATTTTCATTTGAATCTCTATACATTTCTCTTAATTCTTGACCTGTACTTTCAGATGCGTCACCGGGCACTACCACTGAATGGTTAGCTATAGTAAGTTTGTTAGAAAGTTGTTAAGGTGTTGCTAAGTGTATATATACAAGTCTAGAGCTGTAATCTGGAATCAAGAAATAATGCAATCTTTCCCCAAATCTATTTCTCTCTCTATTCCTCTCTTTTTCTCTCCTCTCCCTCTCGATAATATCTCTTTCTTCCCCCCAAAATATCTCTCAATTCTGTTAACCTCCATTGGAGGGTTATCAGAGCTTTTCAAGCTATAACAATGCAATCTTCAACAAAAAAATGGACAAGTCTAATCCAATGGGAGTAAAATCAAGAGGCATAAAATCTTTACCCTTTGAAATCAACTACTACGTTGGTGATATTTGTTGCTTGTCCAGGGCGCTGATGTATAGGACCTCCTTCGCTGCTCAAAGACTAACAGTTGCTGGTTGGTGACAAAATGAAAGTCATCGACTACTGATTCCTCCGATCGAGATTCAATCAGCCAGGTAGCGGTCTTAAGATCTGAACTCTGACGAAGCTTGCGACCCTATTTTCTCCTCGCAGGCTCGGAGGAAGAGAGCAAGTTCTCTTTTTCTTCTCTATCTGATCCCTTTTTTCTATCTACTATTTTGAGTTATGACTTATGAGCTGATTTCTTTAGTGCGTTGGAAACTTGGAATCCTAAACGCCCCAATCCTCTTGTCAATAAATGTGCACTCCATCTTTTTTATTTTATGGCAAGAAAACCTTTATTCATACGAAATCAAATGTGCAATACAACTTGGTGGTGTACGGCTCCATGAGACCATATGGGACGTGGCACATCTTGCAAGGGTATGAGCAATACAATTACGATTCCTACGAATAAAATGAAAATTAATAGATGTAAACGATGATAATAAATTAGCACATTCGTCAAGGATGGAGCCTAGATAAGAGTAGCACTCAAAGGCCTTTCCTTTCTTGATAGCCCCCACCAAAACCTCACAATCAAAAAAAATCTCAATGTCACAAATACCTCGAGTTATCAACCAAGCCAATGTTTCTTTGCAAGCAAGAGCTTCCGCCAAAAGAGGATCTAGAGGCCCAAGTTTTCTTCCATTTGCCGCTGCCACATATACGCCCCCTGGATCAAAAAGGACACAACCGAAAGAGATGGAATCCTCCAAATCTAATGTTGCAGCATCAAAAAAACACCTGTGTGCCTCTGCCCGGAAAGTAGCATCGTGGCGCTGTGAAGTATGTTCCTGCTCCGCATCAGCCTTGTTCGACCATTGAGCTTCCATGGACAGCACCAATTTTTTAAGCTCTCCTGGAAGCAATGTTTTATGATCCCAAGTGGCTATGTTTCGCGCTTTCCAAATTGCCCAACAAGTCCAAGCAATGGTACGTAGCTCCATCAAAGTGTCATTCTGGCACCGATATTGGAACCAATTCTGGAAAGAGATAAATGAGGCTCTATTCCCTCCTTTGCCCATGAGCCTCCAAACTGAATCTGCAAAAGGACAAAACAAGAAAATATGATCAATTGTTTAAGAGCTCCTCCACATCTTTAAATCAGACCAAACAAATACACTTTGGGGGGCTTGGCTCTTAAATAAAAAACATACTCAATAACTAATAAATTCACATTTCACTCATATTTAAAATCCACCGAGCTTAATTTAATTAATGATGCAAAAGATCACTAAAAAAACCCATTTTTTTTAAAATAAAACATATTTTATTGTCTAAAATGCAGAAATATAGAAAATATGCTCAATTAAGTGGATGTTTCTCTATGCTTTTAAGCTGGTCAAAATTGCTTATAAGTAGTTTTTAACTTATAAGTCAGCTGATGACATGTTCTTGTGTGCTTATAATCTGCTTATAATCCAGAAAAAAATTAAACCTATTTTTTTGTTTCTCTGTTTTAACCAAATTATTTACAAACCTGTTCCTCACTATTTATAAATATTTACAAATAATTTATCTATCATTTAAGTCATTTTACTTCCACAAAAGAACATTTTTCATATAAACAGCTTATAAGTTAAAAATTGTTTATCTCCAAGAAGTCAATAAACACTAGCACAGGGAAACACCCTTAAGTTAATATGTGCACTTTAATTGTATAAAATGCCTAAGAAAAGGGGTTTAAAATAGGACACATTAAGACTTAACAAATACCCCCACACTTAGCTTTTGAACATCCTCATTCAAAAAAATAAAAAATCAATTTTTTTTCATATATACTCCTTTTTTTCAAAGTTGAGCTAAAAGAGAAGTTGCAGGAAACCAGCAAATTTGATTCAAATATAAGATTTAAAACACATGATTTATTATTAGTTAATATTGGCTCAACTTGACATTAATTTCTCTCAAATTTCTAACAAGAATAATCCAACAATTAGATACATAGTGTTTTTCTCAAACATTCAATTAGAAGAATTATCTAATCTAGACTTGTTAAATCACTTAGATTGCTCCGTTTTTAAGAATAATAGAAGCCTTAATTAGTAAGATAGTCAAAGATAAGTCCTAAATACCACTCAATGATTCTATCTCCCAAAGTCATAAAGAAAAGAAAAAGAAAAAAAATGATTTTTTGAGGAAATTTCTTAAAAACGGAAAAATAAGGTAAAACTAGGTAGAATAGCTAGAAAAATGAAAACGAAAAGGAGTTAATGAATAACTTAGAAAGTCGTCATTTACTTACTCCACTGGCCAAACGGGATGCAGTGATGCACAACTAGGCTAAATTCCACATTAAGGCATGCTTCGTTGTGCAAGCAATGCGGCTAATTGTCCCCAAATCAAACCAACATCTTTTCCAAGGAATTCTGTTTTAAGATTTAATATTTTTTTGGGCACATGTGCTACCAAGTTATACATGCATGAGCTTGCATATCCACCAGTGTTTCGCAATGGTGCGATACTAGTCTCCCTCCACGGTAGTACGGGCATAACAAGTTAGCATAGGGACAAATCCACGTTCAACCTTGGCTATCATAGTAGTATTAAACCTCAACTAAATTAGACACCAATCCTTCAAAGATAGAAGGTCGAGAAGAGCTACTTTACCAGCTCCAGCCAATCTTACCATCCTTAATTTATGGAAAGATAAAGAAATATATAGAAGGTGGAGAAGACTTTGGGCATTAATAGTTCATAAATGTTATTTAGACTCAAGATTTGACTACGTTACTAAACAAGGTAGAAATGGTCTTAACTAAGGAGCATTCTACTTGATAACACAATAAAAAATTAAGCAACTAATATAACTGAATGGTTCAACAAAACTCTAAAAATTTAAAGGTTAAACTTTTTTCTTAAAAACTTATTTATTTTTTGGAAAAATTGAGCCAAGAAAAAGAGTTAACATTTGTGAAGTCCTAAAAATCTAAGAGCATTTTTTTCTGAACTCTTTTTCTTGTTAGAGAAGCCGCAACTTTTAAAATGAGAATGTAGCTAGGAAGGTTTAGAAGAAAATGCAGAATTTTAGGTTAAAACCCAAGTTTTATCATCATCAATTTTGCCAAATATTGCAAAATCCAACTTCACATACATACCTAAGATGGCCCTAAAAATCTATGTAAAATCAAATTATGATAATTTTAGTCTTAAAATTCTGCAAATTATACTTAAAGAAAACTGAATTTAGTCCCAAAAAGTTTAAAGTTTTGCCCCCAAAATGTAGATTTTCAGTGCTCTCACAAAGAAATATATGTGATGTGAATTTAACACTTTGTTAAATACAGAATTTGCCCCCCTACACTTAGATTATGCAGTGCCTTTAATGCATCAAAAGATAAAGAATTAAATAAATGTGGCAATTAACAACAAAATTAAAACATGCTAATATAAATCAGAAAATAAGGAATCTGAAGAACACAAGGAGATAATCAGAAGTACACCACCACATAATAAAGCCCAGAAGAGAAGGAGGTGGGGATATATGATCAGTGGAAACAAAAATCAGCAAGTATAGATGAAGAAAAAGGTCACAAAATGAAACTTTGATATAAAAAATAGTTCTAAAATTTCATAAAAAACAACAAATGGAGCATAGAAATTTCAGCAACCAAGATTTAAAAAAAGACCGATTTAAATTTCTTCTAGAACAAGTAACCTCAACTCTAAATATTTAACATGCCAACAAATAAGAACATGCCAAATAAGGCTAATTCTCTTACATGCATTCAAAGAGGTAGAAAATAAAACAAAGAACATGCATACTAAATTGATTTTTTTTTACAAAAAAATCTCATGCAACGGTGCACAAATTTGATAAGGTCCTGTCATGCGGTCCAAAACAAATAAAAAATCTGTAAAACTTCTTAGCTAACTCCCAAGATATAATCAAATAAAAATTATAGCTAGGGAAAGTAAGGATCGAGTATTTTTTTAAAACTAATTCAGCATGCACACCCTTTATCACGAAATAGAATAAAAATAAAACTAACTACTACACATGATAAGAACTTATAAAATTTATAGTTAAATAAATATAAAAACTTATTAATAACTTATATAGACATGAAACACATAATAAATATATAAGTGGATAAAGTATATATAAATTTATAATTATAACTTATAAACAAACACACATACAATAAACTAGTAAATAAAAATTTATACTATAAAAACTTAAACACAATATTTAAGGGAATGATAGAACGTAAATATTTTTTGGTTTTTTTATATTTTTCATATTTTTTTTAAATCGGGGGAACAAGCTCAAAAACATATGATGAAATTAATCAACCCAGGTAACCCATGAAAACCACCAAAAACCCGAAACAAAACAAAAAGAGAAGAAATACACCAAGTCAAACATTACTCGTATAATAGCCACTCATATAATATATTACTTAACTTACATGCATAATAATATGAAAAATTATTCAAAGGCCGAGTCGACTCATTTTCTTAACCACGATATGAAGGATTGTCAGCTCTTCACATGACTCGGAGTCATGCAATTTAAAGGTCTGTCTTGAAATATACTTTTCAACCCCAACTCTCTACTCAAGCATGAAAACATACTTCCATTATAGAAAAAGTTTATAAAAGAGAGAATCTATTATTCATTCAACTCTTATACATAACCTATTCATAGAGCAGCCAATAAATTATGCGCTCTAATAAACTCTAGCTCCTAATGATTACCATATTTCACAAATTTTCATAAACTTCTCAAAACAATGTAAACAATCGATTCAGAAAGTGCCTCCCTAATTAGGCGACAATTCTAGGAGGCGCCTTTTGAATTGGTTGTTTGTAAACAACCGACTCAAAAGGTGCCTCCATGAAATGGCGCCTATTCTAGGAGGCACCTGAAATCTCTATGAGATATACTACCCGTTTATCTTGTGGTGTAGTGCACACTCACAAAGGGTTATGTGTGTAACACCCTAATCCGTCCAGGTCTGCAGCCCCTTTCGGACTAAAGTATTAACTTGATAATCATAAAAATTTAAAACATTTCAAACATTTTTATTTATCACAATAATAGTTTTCATAACATAAAAAATACGAAGTACTTAACAATATTGCGGAAGCTTAACAAATCATAATCACAAACACAATTTATTTATGCTCTTCAATTCCAACAATCTCGCTTCCGTCTGCCTCCATGATCATGTCACATCACTCTTTCTATTACCCTGCGTGTAGCAAATAAAAAATACTACACGCTCAGCGTTGAAGCTGAGTAAGCATATCTAATGCGTCGAACATCCATATAAATTGAATCTCAATTCATAATCAAATCATTTGATATCATGCACATAATGTTCAATTCAAGCATTCATCATTTATAACATTCACAATATTCAATTTAAGTCATTTATTGTTCATAATATTCACAATATTCCATTCATGTCATTTCATGATATATATAGCATTCCATATTCAGTATTTCAATAGTGCTCTTAAATTATTCTTAATATAAGCACTACGTCAAAAACAAATGCTGACAACTGTTTCTTTTAGTAGTCTCACGGTGCTGATTTCAGTAGTTTTCCGAGCAGCTGTCTGATATATCTACAGACTATTGTTTAAAAACAGTTGTGTAAAATGGTTGACGACACCTGTTTTGTAATGTTTTAGAGTACGACTTTTTAGTGTTATCCTTTTATGAATAAGACATCTATTTTTTAAAGTTAAAGAGAACTGTGATTTTTTGTTGTCTATCTATAATGAATACTACTGTTGTTTTTAACTTTAGACTTCTAATTCTTGGTGTTGTCCTTCAACAATATAGACATCTACTTTAAAAAGTAATTGAAAGATATATCAGATTGCTGCTCATCGTAAGACCACTAAACAAAAATGCCATCAGACAACTGTTATCTTTGGTTGTATTTCTAAAATATTGACTACTAACATTATTCTTATTCAAACTACTGTTTGTTTTAGTTGTATATTGATTATTAACACAACGGTGTTTTGTAGTTTTTCTTAAAGTATTCAAACTATCTTTTATGACAGTAGTTGAATTGTTTATGAGACAGCTACTCTAAAGATTACTAAAGAAATTTGCTTCAGACAACCATTATTTCGCGTTGTATTTTAAAAATATGAACTACTGTTTTTGTAATATTTCAAACAACTGTTTGCTTTGATCGTCTGAATGTTATTAATACTACGAGTTTGTGTAATTGTACATATACTCTTCAAACTATTAGTTTGAATGGTAGTTAAATTTTTTATTAGACATCTGTTATCTTGTGTTGATTACCAAATAAATATAAATGCAAAAAATACAATATATTGAACAATATATAAATTCATACATTTAAAATACTATAAACATCTAATAATTTAATATTTACATCATTTTTCTACATGCCTGCCTTTTCAATCCATCTTATTTCTCTGTGGAAAAATCCAATACGAATCTGTATTTCACGTCGGCTTTGGCTAGGCGTTCCATGTCGGTGTTGACATAGTCCATCGGCACAATCTCAACATCGGGCGTGATGTTATGTTGGCTTGAGTCTCCTTTAATTTATTCCAGCGATGCCACTTCATGCAACCAATTTTCTGCCTGCGATCCACAATCAAAACATGAAATTAATGTCATTTAGTTCATTTTAGATCAATGCCAAAGCGGAGCAGAGATATGTACAACATGTGAATGGAAGTGTGGCTAATATTACATACCCATGATCAAGGGAAACGCCAACAAGTCAAGGAGTTTCTCCGGGAGACCAACCAATACAAGCTTACCATTGGTCTTCAATAAGCTTAGTAGTGGCATAAGAGGATGAACTACAGAAACTGTGTCTATTATCCCATCAAGTGTGCTCTTTGTAGCCTTTTTTCTATATATACCAAAACCAATTATAAACCATATCATCATCAAAATTGTTAGCGAAATGAATAATAATACTCTCTAATTATGAATAAATTAATCATAACTTACCTGCATTTGTTCAGGGTCACAACTGATCAAGAAGGAATCAACACCAAAACGTTCTATGGCCTCTTGTTTTTTGTCGGCAGAGGTGCTGATGACAGTAACCCGAAGGCTTTGGTGTACTTGACAAAAACCT